AATCGAATATACGTAACCCGCGGAAATTCAAAATTCGAGATACTTTTGGAACAGACCTCGTACACGAGGTCTGTTCCAAAAGTATCTGACTCTACAATGGTTGTTTCAACTTAAGGACCGAAAGTCACATGAGGCTATATCTGAACTGTACGAAAGGTGACGAAGTTTAACAATGCCATGTTTAGTCAAAAAACTTCTGAATCAGGAGAGATGAATGAGCAGGTACGTTATCGTGATGCAGCAGCCAGTTATCACTTTTTTACAAATTTTTTTTACAAAGCGGACGTTTTCTCCTCACTGCGTCACGCAATCGTGTAAAAAACTTTCAAGTAATATTGTATAAGTAATATTGTCCTTGTTTATTGTGCGACCTTGTGGGGCATATTCGTGGTGTATAACACCTTCTTGATCGAAGCAAACAGTGACTATTGCCTTCACGTTGCTCCGATTTTGACACGCTTTCTTGGGTCGAGGCTCTTCTCTTGTCACCCATTGCGAAGATTGTGCTTTTATTTCAGGATCGTAGTCATAAACCCATGTTTTATCGCCTATAATAACTCTTTTAAGCAACTCAGAATCTTTGTTGATGGATTCCAGGATTTCTTCGCAACTTCAACTCGAGAATTCTTTTGATCTTTCATAAGTATTTGTGTAATAAATGTTGCAATCACGCGACTCATTCCCAGATCTTCAGTCAATATTCGAAAAACAATAGTTTTTGGGATGATCCTAAGGTCATCTTTTAACTTTCGCATAGTCAAGCAAAGATTTTGGTTGATAGCGAATCGCACACGTTCTACGTTTTCTGTTGTTTTCGACGTTGAAGGTCTGCCGGAATAAGGATCACTGTCCACTGAGACACAGCCATCTTTGAACTGTTTAAACCATTCTTTTATTTGTGTGTCACTCGTAACCATTATCATAAACTTGACAGATCATGCTGATTGTGTCGGAACATGTGTGACCAAGTTTTTGGTAAAATTTAATACAAATTCTCTACTCGATTCGTTCAATCATTGTGAAATGCGACGTTTTTGACGCTCACACAACTGCATACCGTTGTCAACTAAACAGCTATTTAGTCATGTCGCTTGGTGGGGATACTCTTAAAGATCCACCCTAAATACTGAATACCTGTTTTCCACAATAGGATGCCTAAGGACAAAAATATATGTAGAGGTCGGATACTTTTGAGGCAAACCTCATATAGTTTTTACATTATTTATATAAAATTTACAGTAAATATATTTACAGAATTTCGTATTTTATGATTAAAATAACTGTTATGCGTTTCACGGGTTTTCTCCGTGTCCAAATCCATTCTTGAAATGCCAACGTTTCG